TATTATTATTATTATTATTATTATTATTATTATTATTATTATTATTATTATTATTATTATTATTATTATTATTATTATTATTATCTGTATCAAGTTATAACATCATAAATCCTAGCCAAATCATATTTAGATTACTGAAAAATGAACTTTCTGTGAACAATTTCCATTAAATGTAAATGGTCCAAAATATACTAGTTAGTCTTTCATTAACAGGCAACAAAAGATTCACAGTTCCAATGAGCCAATTATGTTGGGTTCCTATTTGTTTCTGACACACTTTCAAAATAATTATGTTTTATTATGACAAAGGTACTTGGAATATGATATTCTATTATATGAGCCTCATTAAATTTCTTCATAACTAAAGTATATTTAGTTAGGATCAAAAAGAAGGCTGATCAATTCTCCATATAAAAATATTAGTTCTTGGTTTTCCTGTTTTGTTGAATACCTTCTTGAAGAACTCCCACTTCTCTGTAACCACTATCTCTGTTAAAATATTTTTCAGCAGAGATCTCTCAGACTGAAAGACTTGTTCCTTCTTACTTCTGCTCCGTTCAGCCGTAAATTGCTATCTTCCATAAGCCAAAAACCAATTATCAGCAATATGATTTTACCTTACATAATATTTTTGACTATAAACAAGTTCTTAATATTATAAGAAGAGAAACAGAGTAACAGTCATGGCTGTTCAATTCCCATTACATTTTAGCAAAGCTGGATTTCTGACTAACCTGGTTAATTACAACCTAACTCAGGATTAATTAAGAATATATGTATTACAGAAGAAATGTAAATAAGGCAATGCTTCTGTACAACATCCAAGAAAGAAAAGGAAGATGTGGAGGAGAAATAAATGATACAAGAAAAATGCATTACTTTAATCTCTGAAAATAACTTCTAGTGGAAGGTATATTTTTACAGCTTTTACAAATTATGTATGGAATCTCATAATAGACTAGAATAAGAAATGTTTGCCAAGATTTCACTGAAAATCGTGTCTGAATAGCCAGGTGGTATGCATTCTACTAATTGCTCTTCTTGGCACCTCCCACTCTAGTTCTTTCTGTGATCTATTTACTGCTTACTATCATTTAGTAATATCCAAGTTTTTGTCTCCTAGAATCTTAACATTTACAAATATTTTTTGATGACTTAGACTCAAATATCAGCTAAAGTGTTCCATACTGTTTCAGCTAAAGAGTTCCATACTGTTTCAGCTCTATGATGCCTTGTAAAGAGTCAGACATTTCTATGAGGCATTCCATGCCATCATTATTGAACATGAAACATACTGGTTCAGACATCATTCTTAGCTCCCAGGTTTATAACTGTGCGAAGCTAGAGCCAGAATGAAAGATTGCCTTACTTAAAGTTAACTCTGGAAATTTCTGATCATGTTTCGTATTCTGAAAGTTCTACTGCAATTTGGATAGGAGATGATGAGTTATTTTTACTTGTATACATATACCCATGCATGTATGTTCTTTTGTATAAATATGAATTATTCAAATATTTTTAAAAAGTTGCTTTGAGAAATGTGTTACCATCAGTAAAATGTCTCATTAAAGCATTCAAATTAGCCACATACTTCAGAAGGCTCACTCAGCTGTCTGCATAAGTATATGCATACAATACTACTTCAGGCTATTAAGCTGTTCTATTGAAAAAGCTGCCTATGCATACAAAAGCACACACAATTAAGGATCTTCATCAAAGCAGTAGCACAAGTTTTTCATAAGAAGTGATTATTAAAGCACTTTGAAAAGAGTGTTTCACTTTGAAAAATCAGCTTTTTGAGTGTTCTACATAGGCTTAATATATGTGTTCATTAGTTAGAAATCTGTTATTCACACTTGGAAATAAATACTCACAAGGAAGGATCCTGGATGAGGTCTTTAAGGTTTATCCCACTGCGATCTTCTGCAAGGTTCCTGAAGCAACTGTCACTCACTAACAAGAAAGTAATAAAGAGAAATATAAGAAATCAAAAGAAATAAGTTTCCTGGCAAAATGTTAGCAAAGCGCCTCAGGGTTCAAATATTGCAATATAGTTTTATTTTAAGTTTTCAATAGGTTTGCAGATAAGATTATTTTTAAAAAAATCCAATATCATGTCTAAAAACTGAGTAGTAAGAATAATTAGTTAACAATAGTTAAATGCTCCAAGTTTAACCCCCCCACCCCCAAAAGCCCACACTACATTGTTTCAGTTCTGAACCCAATCACACAGCTTCCTCAGTCATTAATTAGAAGACTACAAGTATGACAGTGATTGATCTGTTTTCTTTTTACAAAACAACCAGCAAAAAAAAGGCTTTAATGGTAAAATATATTCTGGGGAAAATGTTACAAAATAGTATTTAGTGGAAATGAATTTGTGCATTGTATTAATTTGTCACTGAATTATTAATAAATCTATGACACTTAATTATTTTTAAATAAGTGAAACAAATTACAATGCTATACAGTCTGAATTTAACTCTTTGCAAAGACTAAATGCTAATCCATTGCAGTATGCTAATTATTTATGCTGCTTTGTTAAACTTCATTGGATGCTCCATCTGAAAAAGGTACACATAGTTTCTAGGCTTAATAACTAACAGACTATTTAGAATCTGCAAAAGACAGAAAAGTTAAACTAATGTACTAGCTCCATGAAAGATAAGATTACATTTCAAAATGACCTAAATTAATTCCTGAAAATAAGGTAAATTGTGTGGTAGCTAACATAACTGAATTTTTTTTTAGCAATTCTAGCCAATTGCAGAAATCTTAAAATAGGAAGCACTCTATTCAGTGCTTACATAAACTGAAATGAGTATTTTATCCAGATTCCGTTACAAAAAGATGCTGCCAACATTTGCAGAAATTATTATTTAGGCTTAGGTTTTACATTCCAAATTACACATAAAACCAACTAATATAACTGAATACTTTTATTAAAATGAAACATAAGATATACATCAGAGAGAAATTTACACTAAAATCTTCAGGCAGCAGAAAGCATCCAGATATTTTAATCTATTATATAGTTTTTACGTTTACAGATAGTCCTCAACTTATGACAATTGAGCCCAAAATTTCTGTTGCTAATCAAGATAGTTGTTAAGTGAGTTTTGCCCATTTTACAGCCTTTCTTGCCACAGAATCGCTGTTGTTAAGTGAATCACTGCAGTTGTTAAGTTAGTAACATGGTTGTTAAGTGAATCTGGCTTCTGACTTTACTTGTCAGAATGTTGCAAAAGGTGATCCCATGATCCTGGGACACTGCAACGGTCATAAATATATGCCAGTTGCCAAGCATCTGACTTTTGATCACATGACCATGCGGATGCTGCAATAGTTATAAGTGTGAAAAATTACCATAAGTCAATTTTTTTTCAGTGCCATTGTAACATCTAACAGTCACTAAATGAATGGTTTTAAGTTGTGAGTTACCTGTAATCATTTTTCATTCCTATTTTGCTTGTATGCACCATTTTTAGATGCTAACTCAGAAATAAAAACCCCTGTGGTTTCTGTGTATATATTTATGTTATGTTATATATTTATACATAAAGTAATTGAGACTTATGTCAAATCCGTGAAATGATGCAACTGAAAATCAAGCAAAGCCGTTTATATACATTATTGGCAATAGCTATCATAGGATAAGAATGGTTCAGGGAAATCTCCATGATGGACGATGGATTCTTCACAACTGGTGCTCCCAATCTGAAATTTTGAACTTTTTGTTTATTTTTATAAATGAATTATCTTGTACACTATACACTATACACTTATGCACAGTCTATCTGGACCCGCTCCAGTCGGGCTTCAGGCCGGGTTACAGCACGGAAACGGCATTGGTCACATTGGTGAATGATCTCTGGAGGGCCCGGGACAGGGGTTATTCCTCTGTCCTAGTTCTTTTGGACCTCTCAGCGGCTTTTGATACTGTGGACCACGGTATCATGCTG